CAGCTTCACAAAGTCTTGTATGTCGCTGCTCGTGATCTCCAGATCCTTGAGCAGCGTCTCATTCAGCGCCACATGTGGTTCCATCTGCCGCTGGGCCATGTTTATCTCCTGCATGTTTTCCAATCTAAATCTTTCGCTGTGCATGGAATTTGGCTCCGCTTTAGATCATGCTGACCGCCGCTGAAATACAAGAAAAAACCTTTAGTAAATCGCTTGACTGGCTTACTTTCGGAGCGCAATTCGTGCTTAGCCCCAAAGTATCTTAATTAAGCTAATAAGGTGTGCATTTGTCAGATACATTATTCCAAATAAACAACAAATCGCAGTATAACAAAGGAAAAAGCTAGCCACAAGGGACACAATTATCGCGTAGAGTATTCAGGCCCCAAATCAAACACGTTGACACAAAAAAACAAACAAATAACTGTTAAGTGTGCACGACTAGGCGCTACCCTATATTCAACATACATTTACAAGTAAAGAAATTTAGTTTTTTAATATGCTTTCGAATTTCGTTAATTTCTATCTTAAATATTGACGAAAATAGCTGGATCGTCATCCTCATCAGAAATAAATATACTTGTTACATAAATTTACACTGAACTATTAAACCCATTTTTATTATTTGTGTGCAGGGTATATAAAAAGCGTCTTGTCTTTAGTGGGATACGAGTAGCTGTATCTGTATCTTTAATTGTATATATATATATATATATCTGTATCTGTAAATGTATCTGTAAATTTAATCGTAAATGTTTCTGTATCTGTAAATGTATCTTTTTCTGTATCTGTATCTGTATCTGTATCTGTATCTGTATCTGTAACTGTATCTGTATCTGTATCTGTATCTGTATCTGTATCCGTATCTGTATCTGTAGCTGTACCAGTACCTGTACCTGTACCTATACCTATACCTATACCAGTACCTGTACCTGTACCTGTATCTGAATCTGTATATGTATATGTATATGTATTTGCATATTTATCTGCATATGTATATTTATTTGTAATGTATCTGTATCCAAATTTGTCGCTATATCTGCGTTTGCGACTGTGAAAACTAATGCGTGACAGATATAAAGGAAAAGCCCGTAATGAAACGAGAATCCCAGAGAGATATAAAGGGCTTAGCCGATGAAAAAAAAAGCCTGCATTTCATTAGCAATTGACAGTTGCTGCCCCTTTTGTGATCAAGGCAGATGCCATTTTTTGTATATTGTGCAATTGTCGAGCGGGCTGTAAACTCTGCTCTTTATTTCCAAATGCAGGCCATATCAATTTTGCAAATGTCAAACCACATTGAAGGCAACATCAACAGCAGCAGCCGTCTGGCCAAACTGGCCAACATAATTCAAACGATAATTGATCGAAAATTTAATGTGGCAAATGAAAATTAGAGACCATGAGAAAACACCGAAGCTTAAATATGCTTGCAGTCAAATAAATTAGATTGCTCTCAGGCCTGAGAGTCCAGTCCAGATGCGAATTGTCTGACAGCAAATGTGTTTACACAACGACTGACATAGTTGAAGAGACCCGCGGCCAGCGTATAATTAAACAGAGCACACCTGTCACAGTGCAGTTGCGAGTAGCTGGGCGTAGCAGTTAATTGGCTAACGATATAGATACAACTTTTCTATGTGTATATGTATATATGTTTGCATCTGTGTTTCTTTTGGGGCCGATAAACATATTTGCGACATCGTAAATCAGTCAAGTTTGTGAGTTGGCAAATCAAAGTCTCGCCCCAATGTTCAACATGTCAACGAAGGTGTTGCATTCGGCTAATGGGTTCGAGTCCAGCTACAGCTCCAGCTACAGCTTCACATCAAATCCTGTTCGCCGTTTCGCAATTGCAATTCAAATTTTGTGTTTTTTGAGTAACTGCCCTCGTCTGTTCGCCGATTGCCACACACACCACACACAACAGCCGCACAAACGGGGCCTGCTCCGACTTCAGACTCTTTGCCAGTTGTCAATTATTTGATTTTGATGGATATGTCAGACGTCAACAACAACAACAACAACAGCTGCTTTGGCGTAAGGAACATTCCACAAATTGCGCATTTTATTGTCTTGCACAACAGTTATTATTTATGAAACAATGTTTGCAATATTTCGTTTGCCTCAACGACCAAAATACAATTGTGTGTGTTCGTAAATATAAAAAATAAACATAAAACACAAACGCATATTAAAGCCAACTGCTGCGCTTTGCTGCATTCAAAACGTATTTGTGTATGTTAAATCAACTTTTGTGCCACATTGAAATAATAGTATTTCAGCATTTAAAAAACATATAAAAAGAAATAAATAAAGGCAATGCCAAAGTTAATCTTCTTGCATGCGATTAAAGCATAGCTGTGCTTAGGCACACAACGATTCGATTTATATAACTCAATTTTCGGATGATTTTGCTCCCAAGGAATTGGGCTGTGCGTTGATCAGTCAATTAGTCATTCAATCAGTCAGTCAGTCATTCAGTCAGTCAGTTAGTCAGTTAGTCAGTCTGTCAGGACAAGCAATTGTATATATAGAGATATATACTTAAGCACCTTTGCGATCAAAATTAGATACCTCTCATCATCTTCTAAGAAAACTAATATATAATGCAAAAAAACTTAATATATAGTTTCTGTTCTGTTTCATTCAATCTTTGGATAGAATCTTTCGCTGAGTGTAGAGAAAACTAGAGTTGGGTTTTAGCTGAAATAGACAAGTAATTATAGATGTTTTGCGCATAAGAAGATTTATGCGACTAGTTCGGCAAGAAAAACAATAATTTATTCAATTTGCTTTTTTGTGTCCTCCTTCTATTTTTTTCGTGCAGAGTGCAAAGTTTTTGCGGGAAATTCCTGCGGGAAATGGAAAAGCAGGTGGCGTAACGCAACATGAGCACAGTGTGATACACACACACACACACACACACACACACACACACACACGCACACACACAAGCAAATGGCGTCAACTGACAGCTTTAGATAAACGCCATACGGATTTTTTGCTGCTGCCATTAGCTGTTGTGCTGTTAATTAATGTTCCGTTGCGCACACACACACACACACACACACACAGAGACAGAGAGAGACATACTGTGTGTGGTTTTTTATTGCAGCATAAACCATAACCAGAGTGTGTGTGCCAGGCGCGCAGTCTTATCAAACAGAAGCTCGCATTTCCCTCCGCCCAGCAGCAGCAGCCGCAGTTTCCCGCAGCGCCAATTGCCTTAACGATCCTTCAGCGCGCTTGCGGCCCATTAAAATGTAATTTCGCTCAAAATGAGAACTTAGACAACAGAGTTTATGTTCTACTAAACAACTATACTATATACGAATATCTATCTGTTGTAGTTGTCGTCCATGGGCAGCACTTGATACTTGAGACAATTGCCACTAGGTAAACGCATTTTGGAATTCAATTTGAATTTGCGTTCGCCAACTGGGTAACAAACCATTTGTTGCTGCCTCTTGGCTGGCCCGGCCTGGCCTGGCCTGGCCTGGCCGGGGCAAATGGCTTTGCAAATTGCACAGATTAGAGCCAGAAATGGAATTGAATAAAAATGTATTGGACAAATTTATCAAGTGCTTCTACGTTTGACTGCCGCCCCACAGGCAGGCAAAACAAATTGCAATGCTGCCTGCCTGAGGCTTTGCCTTACATAAAAGACAAAATAAATACAATGTTTGTACGGCAATTTGCCACTGCCTGCATAATATATATTCCGCTTAAAGCATAGACATTCAGATTTTATGTTATGATAATTTTTAGATTTTAAAAAAGCATTACGCGTCCGGATAGACACAAATGGCAAACGCATTAAATTGTAGCAAATAAGTAGAGCTTTAAGCTTGAGGAGAGCTTTAATTTATTTAAAGCTTTCAATGCACTTCAAAGCTTTAAGGAATAACTGAAAGAAGTAAATCAAATTAAGCTATCTTCAATTCAAAACTTCGATATGTATTTAAAACAGCTTTAAGCTTTGCTTAAAATGCATGGCCAAGCTTTAAGCTGGATTGAATGTACAAGCTTTTTTCATGTTCGCCCTTTGTTCAATAAGAAAAAAATTAATTCATTTTAATGAAATATTTATATTCAAGCTATATAGAATTTATGCAGTCTTTTTGTTAAAAATGTTGTAAATCTTTAGAAGACAGACTCATTAAATTGTAGTCGATTTAGTAGAGCTTTAAGTTTTCAGAGAGCCCAATTACACGCGCTTGTTATAATTTTTTCAGCATAAAGCTGTTTCCCGCTCTTTTTATTTTTGACAAAGAAAAGAACAAAATGTATTTAATATTAAAATCCGTAATCACCTACCTGAAATATTTATATTAAAGCTCTACATTTAGATCTTGTGTTATGAAACTTCTCCGATTATAAAACGCAACAAATTCAGATAAAACAAGCTAAAGACCAATTCATTAAGGAGCTTACAGCTTCAAAAGAGCTTCGCTGATTACATTAAATCCAGCTTGAAACTGCTTTAAAAGCGCATGCATAAAAAAATGTGTTTTCTTCTTTGACATTTAATCAATTATTCATTTTAATTTCATAAAAAAAGTAGCTAGTGTACTTCTGTGAACCAATTAATAAGTGAAACTACATGATCCGTATATATTACAAATCCAGTCAACACTCAACATGAGTGACTTGTGCTGTGAGCCGAATAGTTTTTCCGATTGAAAAACAAAACACAAAAAAAAACGAGCTTTATACAATTTATGCAACTGACAGAATGTCCGTCGATTGTCAGAGCAACGCACATGACCAGGCACACACGCACACACACACGCACACACACACACGCACAACTTGTTTGATACAATTTGGACTTGATGTGGGCATATAGTTACTTACAGCCCCAATGTGCGTGTCTCTCACTCTCTTATTCTTATATGATTTTTCCTTTTTGTGCCGCTGCCTAAATACTTTTTGCCTAATGAGTGCGTTTGACTTAGTTTTGAGTGAGTCTCTAGCCGATCAAAAAAAAATTGTATAAATAAACAGATTCTGGCTGCAAATAACGTTAGTTCAAGTTTAGACACAGTGCAGTGCAGTGCGTAAAGCCGATTAAATAGAGAAAATACTTTAACACTATGAAATTCACTGTAAGTTGAACATGAACGACGCTTTAAGCTGAGAAAATATTAAAGTCAAGCAAAACTGAAATAGACTTAAGTGAGAAGCTTAAATAGAATGCAAATAATATTATGACTTGTTAAATTAAATTTTTGCTAAATATTTTTGAAATTTAGAAAATTTATCAAATATAATAAATGAGCCTTCAGTTGGCAATTTGTAAGCCCCAAAAACAAATTTTCGCCAGCCTCATTTATAAGCTTTGCCGCTGCGCTGACTGACAGCCGAAAATCTATTTTCATTTGAATATTCCTATAATTTGTTGTATATTTTTGTTGCATGTTATTCTGCTGTTTGCTGCAAATGGAAAATTCCGTCGGGAAATAAAAACAATGCAAATTGGATTGTGCAGTTAATATTGCTGATTGCTGGCGCTGCCTGCATCCTGGCCGCACCCGTTGCCGAGGAGCAGCAACAGCAGCAACAGGACTCGGAGTCTTCGGTCAAGGCCAAGCGTGGCCTGGCGCTGGGTCTGGGCTACCACGCCCCCATTTTAACCCATTCGCATTACGTTGCCGCACCAACCTACGTTCATCATGCGCCATTGATTTCGCATGCACCGCTCATTTCCCACGCACCACTCATTGCGCACCATCCGGTGTCGTCGGTCTCCTATCACCTGCCCACCTACCACTCCATCCATCATTTCTGAGCTGTCGCTGGAGCAACCGGAGCACCAGCTGCTGGAGTCAACAACAAACAGTCAAGACGTGCAAAAGCGGCAAAAGCAAAACAACAACAACAACATAAAAAAGAACAAAAACAAAACAAAAAATTCTAGAAAAAAGAAGAAACCCAAAGGAAAACTTTTCCATTCGTTTCGACCCGGTTACAACATGAATTCCTAGAAAATTGTGTACTACTACCCCGCCCACCGCCCCCCGCCCCCCCTTCACAGCACCCACGCAGCTTTTAACGTTTATCATTTGCTTTTGTAAATAAAAATGTACAAAAAGTTTTCTTCTGCATTTAAACAAACGATATCTTCAGTTACAACTTTCAGCCAGCTGACGGGTAAAACTGGGCCGCCAACTTGCCACTACACTCAGAGAAATCAGCAAGCAGTTCGTGCTTAACTCAAATCAATATTTGTGGGGTTTCAAATACTTAAGCTGAGAGCAAAATTCATATATCAAGAGATTTTTGCTTCATCAATCGGGAAATTATACTTCCACTGAAAATGTTTCACGCTTATTTCACTTGTGATAGTTCATGTTATACGTATTTTGAACTGGTTCGGTTCACGGAAAGAACCAATGGTACAGCTCTTGAGTCCTGCTCTCCCGAACTAACACATTTTACAATATTATTTTCATTTAAATATGGTTAAAGTTTAAACAACGTTATACTAGAATCTAGTACATAGATTTTTTCTAAGTGTCTGGGGTTGAAAGTACGTGTAAGTGCAGCAGTTAAGCGTAGTGCTTGCCGCAGCCCTCTTCCTGGCAACCAATTTGAACCGCAACAGCATCTTTTGCCACTGCCACAAGTTTCTCTTTTGCCAGCTGCAGGCGCACAATTGTCACAACTTGGAGCACATAATCCTGGCAGTTAAGCCCTTATGGCGCAGGACAAACATTAAGTTAACATTATGATTACGCACATTATGCAACAACATTATTGTTATTATTATTATTATGCCCCAATGCAGCGTTTAACGAGTATTGTGTGCATTGGCATTTAACTTTTCATTTTGCAGCATCAAATCGGTGCGTAATGCCAATTTACGAGTTAGTCAACTCTCTGCCCTTGATCAAATGTATTTAATCTGTTTAATAAGATTAAATAAGCTCGTATAAATTCTAGTTAATTCAATACAGTTTTAGACTCTGCCACAACATCAACGAATGAACATATAATGGAATTAAGGCTTAGTTGGAAAAATCTATATGGAATGAACATATAATGAGATTAAAGCTTAGTTGCTAAAATCCATATGGAGCAGTGAATATTTTATCCTTTCCCTTACTACTGGATGATTAGTTAAAAATGTTGAGGCAATATCATCGAACGGAAAACGTTTTCGATTATGATATATGTAGGAATTCCTAAGTAAATCTCAGAACAAAAAAAAAAAAAATAGTTTCTTTTTAAAGGGGAAAGCTTCCCCACTAAAAACCCTTTTCTAGCATGGATTGTTCCTATAGAAGGTATATGATATAGTTGTCCGATATTGAACAGAAATATATCAAAACTAGTCTATCTAATAATTCCCGAGAGTTTTAAAGAAAATTTAAAAAATGTCATACAGAAACTTAATTTTATCTGGATTGTTGATATGGGATCTATAGGATATAATTATTCGATGCTCGTTAATTTGGTCAATATAAAAATAATAATATAAGAAAAAGAAATCAACATATAAGAAAAACAAAAGAATTAGTAACTTGTGAGTTTCAAAAACAAAAGTAAATAAAGAAGTTTCTTTGAGACAAACTCACTTTTTGACTGCTCGTTCCTATGGAAGCGATAAGTAGTCTGATTTCAATACGATTGCACGCATATGTCAACATATGTTTGGGAAAACAAAACAGTTTTCCATACAAAAACTCGAATTTCCTTTCCCTGCCATATGCTATAAGAATCCGATGCGAACGACTGCTAGATACACTGACTGCCATATAAAGTCGAACTGGAACTGGAGCACACACTTGATAGGGTTGAAGATTTGTCCTTCCAAGCGTTACGCAAGTCCCGACAAAATTATGGGGTATAAATGACACACACACACACGAGTTATATCTTGAATAGTACGTGTGGTACATTTGCATTTGTATTTAACTCTACATGCACTGCATTTGTGTCTGAACTAAACTGTAGACTTATTGAAAATTTGATTCAGAATGGAGCCGAAGCTTAGTCGGAGAAACTGTCGCTCCAGTAGGTTGTCGTTAGGGGTGCCACCGACTTGAACAGATCTCGTCCCTGGCTGGGATGACCATCCATTGATTGGCGCTTGACTTTCGTCTCCGAATGGCGGTTGCAGTTGGTGCTCTGGTGGCGCTGGAGGCGCGTCTGTGTGAGGAACGTGCGCTGGCAACGCTTGCACTCGTAGATGATGCCGTGCTCATCATGGCTGAGGGCCATGTGCCGCTTGAGCTCGGCGCGCAGTCGGAATATCTGGGCGCAGAGCTCGCAACGGAACTGGGCACGCTCCGCTGCGTGACGCTCCATGTGCGTCTTGTAGGCGCCGCGCACCTTGAACTTCTTGTTGCATATCTGGCAGTGGAATTCATGGCGAGAGTCGTGCATCTTGCGATGCATCACATAGGATTGTTTGCGTGGAAAGCTTAAGTCGCACTGGTCGCACTCGAAGGGTCCCTGCGAGGCGGCGGCGGGCGACGTTTGGAGACTCCGCCTTTTGTGGTTCTCCTCCTCCTGACTGTTGGCGCCCGCCGAACGTTTTGTGCCCTTCTTGCGGCCACGCCGTCTGCCCGGCTTGCGTTTCTCACTGATGTCCGTGTCGGCGGAGTCGCTGTCGCCGCTTGTGGAGCCCCCGACATCGGAGACCTTAAACTCGACATCATCGTTAAGCTCCTCCTCGTCCTCTTCGCTGGCCGATTCGGAGACGGGCGCATCTATAACCACATAGCCACGCGGCCGACGCACTTTGTTCTTGCTGCGAGACAAACGCTTGCGCAGCTCCCGCTCGGTGGTTTCTAGCTGCTGTCGCAGCTTTATGGCAATTGTGAGACTCTCCAGGCAGCTGTTGCATATGAACTGCGGCATAAAGTCCTTCAGCGCTATCGATACACTGGGACAAAGGAGCAGCAACATGTCGGCGGGCGTGCTGCCTTCGCTGGTCTTGGTGAAGAGACTGACCAGCTGCTCCTTGGTGGTGCAGACACGGCACTGTGTTTCATCCACGGGCTCCACCTGGGCTTGCGCACCAGATCGTGCGCTGGCATTCCCCTCTTCTGTTGCCTCTGCCTGGGCATCATCACCTGTGATGATTTCTCCCTCATCCTCTGCCTCAACTAGTTCTTCCACAGCTTCTTCGACAGAATCCTCCACAGACTCTTCGACAGCTTCTTCTACAGAGTCTTCCACAGGCTCCTCAGCTGTCTCACTTGGCGCACTTTCTGCTGCAGCTGTTGTTGTTGTTGTTGTAGTTGTTGCTTCGTCATCTTTATTATTAACCGCCGCTGATGCGTCCTCTTCTACTTCAGTTAACTCCCGCTCGTCCTCGCACTCATCTTCAGCCATTTCGTCTTCTAGATATTCGACTTCGCCCATTTCCTCGTCGCCATCCACCTCCTCCTCTTCTTCATGCTCCTCTGCTGCCTCTGCCACCACCGACGTCTGCGGTTCGACATGCGCCGCCGCATTACCCTAGAAAATGTTAAGCATGTTTTTACTCTTGTGATTTATCTAACACCTCCGCCCCTCTCGCTTCGCACCTCTGCCATGTACACAACAACAGTGTCCGCGTCTGCTTCCTCTTCCTCTTCTACAACGGCGCTGCTGGCCTCCCACGCATTTGTGGCAGACGCCACCTCCGGCTGCGACTGCGACTGCGGCTGCGGCTCCGTCTCCACTTCCTCTCCATTCTCAGCCACTCCATTTGTGGTCGCCGCAAGCGTTATTTCCTCTTCCATTTCGTATTTTGTTTTGTGCTTTTTGGCGCCTCAATATTTACGCCGGCCCCCACAAACAGTTTCTGGCGAGCAAATTTGTTTTCTTTATGTTCACGGTCCACTTTACAGTTCTCAATATACTCTTTCTCCGTTGGGTCTGACGCAATCGCTATAATGTTTATAGCTCGCTCTCTAATTGCACATTTTTAACACCGTTTCAAGCAAAAGGCCCAAACATTTATTAGTTTTTACAAAACAACGCCATATTGTATGAGTAGATACACGCAGCGCTCAGCTGTTCTGGGTATCGATGCCTGTGCGCATGTCAAATAAATATCGATAGGCCGATAACAGCGAATGCTGCAACACGAGCGCGCCAAAATGAGTACGAATTTGAAATGAAAAAACGTAGCGAATATTTAAATGAATTATTTAAACTCAATTATGGCAGATATTTTGGTGGCAAACACGTGTTTAGCATATGGCATTTGCATCACTTTATTAAAAAGAAATTCCATTCTGCTTTGAATTAGAATTTCAACCAATTAAAAGCACTTAGCCAACAACTTACAGTATACAAAGTTATCCATGCATTTATCGTACATTATATCTATAAAGTGTTTTTCAGTGAAAATCAAATTCCATGACAATGCTTTTACGCAGCTATTATAATGGCCAGAAAAAAATAAATAGAAAGAAATTACCCCCGCAACAATAAAATAAAAAATGGGTCCATTCGTCGTCAAGTGCGTAAACCAAAAAAAAATAAAAATAAATAAATATTCAGTGCGACCCACACAGCATGGGCGAGATATTTATTTCAATTATGCGAATTCGAAGACCAAAGTGCTGCCACGAATAAAAAAAGAAAATTGTTTATACTGTCAGGCGAAATAATGTTAAAGTTGTCACATCAACATTCAGGAGCCATTCAAAGGCAATTTGCGTTAACAGGTCCCCGAAACACAGCGAATTTTTTAGATTCCTATATATATTTTATATATATATATATGTATTTTTTCTTTCTTGTGATATACGTCAACAATTATCGCAGGAAAACGTGCTCGGCGCCTACTCGACATTAGCATGAAGACGAACTGGGTTGGCCCGCTGGGAAACGTGTCGTGAGATTTCTGTTTATGACGATAGCAAACGACGATTGGGATCGGCACAGGAGCAGGAAGAGGAACAGCGACAGCGACAGCAGACAGGGAGAAGAGCTGGAACAGGTCGTAACTAGATAAATATAGCATTGCGTTTCCTCTGGCAGTGATAAAAAAGCGCGACCATGTCAACTGACAAGCGCATTCCCTGAACGCACAAGACATC